TATTAAATAGTTACCTGGGCATCAAGACAGCAAGTTGCCTGGCACCCGAAGTGAGCCAGTGAAACAGCGACGCAAAATTCCAGCAGGCTGAACAGGAGCAGCACACTGGATAGGCCATAACCGACACTCTGTAGCCTCCCTGCAGCATCCTGTAGACATGTGGAAAGATAGTTTTAATTTTCCGAGAAGTTAACGTAGCGGTATGTATTTTATTTTACTTTATGTCCTTCACCATGAAAAGGGATTCCCATCTGCTCCCTTGGGAAACACTGGGAGGAACAATTGTATTGGGAAAAACAGAGACACTGTACAGGTAACCCTCGACTTACAACCACAATTGGGGCCAGAATTTCCACTGCGGTTGTTAAGTGAGTCATGCGTAATTTTACCTTTTCTGCCAGTGTTGCTAAGCAAATAGCTGCAATTAAGAGAAACATATGGTTGTTAAGTGAATCCAGCTTCCCCACCTCTGCAGGCTTTGCTGATCAGAGGCTGGCTGGGAAAGTTGCAAAGGAGATGCTGCAACTGTCCTAAATAAATTGCTAGTAGCCAAGTCCCCAAATTTTGATCATGTGACTGTGGGTATGCTGCAAAGGTCATAAATGCAAAGAGCGGCCATAGGTTGGATTTTTTTTTTCTGAGTGCCATTGAAACATTGGTCAGTAAATGTACAACTGTAAATTGAATAATTGTAAATTAAAGACTACTTGTACAACCTGTGGGACATGAGAAAACTGCATCAGGGAACATTAGCACCTGTTTTGCAATGTTCTAAACTAAGGGAAGTATTCTGCCCCTCTCACTGTTGAAATAAGTAGATGCAATGTGGTTGTCCTCCATTTCCCAATAGGAAGTTTGAAGTGTCTGTTTTCCTGTTGCCTATAGAGAAGTAAAGGAGGAGAGAGTCTAGGGAGATTTCTCAGTCATCCAGGTCACGGTTGTCCCAAAGGTGCTTTTTCAAGAGGCACCTGGACCTTCTAGTTTTCCTGTGGAGACATTTTGCTTCTCTTCCAAGAAGCTTCTTCAGCTCTGACTGGATGGTGGGGAGGATTTATACTCCTTGCAGACAGCTGGTCATTTGCATCTTTTTAGAGAGTGATTGAAGCCACCATCTAGCCAAGCACTCCTTTGTTTTTCACTACCTAAGCCCTACTGTAAAACAATTTTTTATACTCTACAGAGACATAGTCAAACAATACGTCTAAAACACATTTAGACTTTTTTTTTTTAAATCTATCCCCCCCACACCAAATAAACAAACTGGAGAAGAAAAGAACTCTACAAAGTCCTACTCCCTTTGCACCTCAATAACCAGAAGATTGATTCCCCTTATTTAACAAATATATAAAACAGGATTCAAATGAAATAGCACTCATGTTTTTGTGACTTAGACCTATTAAAGAAAAGATTTCAAACAAAACTCAAAGGGTTTGGGATATCCTTCCTGTATATATAATCTCCTTCAGAATTCTGCACATGAAGCCAAAATTTAAGACCGGATTGTTTTACTTACAATTGTTTTACTTACAAGTGAACTTTCATATTGATATCTCCTAAAACCACTACTGAAGATCAGTTCACATAGGTACAGGATGATACCAGTTAATGCCATTACAGCACTTGTGATGTTCAGTCCTACGCTAGATTTCACCTGAAACAATACACCAGAAAGAGAGAAAATACAGTTACAGTGTCATTATGTTACAGAATAGGTTTATGCAAAGATAAAAATTATTAGCCCCAACTATGGTAAAAACAGTGACAGAATTCAATCTATGTGTGTGCTTAATGACACATAACCAATCAGTATTGAAACCAGACCACATCCACTAAGATCACAGAATCAAACAGCAGCAATAACAAGGTTTTCCGCAGTGGAAAGGCAAATGCCACAATTCATTTGAGGGCTTTTCTAAAACTGTCAAATCTCTTCTTTCTGTTTGTAGATGTCAACCTCCAATCAAAGGCCAGGTGATTAACAGTGACAGGAAAATGGTGAGGATGGTTCATCCTTAACACTTTGGTTAAAGAAATCCTGCACTGTTTAGAAGGAGTTGACTTCTTGGAGTTTTGGTTCAAAACTACAGAATGCAAGAAGACACCTCTTTGCTCAGGACTAGCAACATTACTCGTAGCAACCAAGTTAGCTCTAGCAGAACAAGCACCCACATGATGGTCACTGACTCTCTCAGGCTTCTCTCATTTTCGTTGTGGTACTGACAGGACATGGAGTGTTGCAGGTTGCACATCAGGAAGGTAATTTGGGAAGTAGCCCATAGCAAAAGGGGAACCAGGAGTGGCTCTAATCCTGTATGGTTCAACTTTCTCTACTGTTGGGGTAGAACTTTCAATAGAAACAAAGCTTGGAAGCAAATGCTGATCAAAGAAGGAAGTTGGAGGGACTTTTGAGTTTGCTTTTTTTTTCTCAGATGTTATTTTAAGACTGAATAGTATCTGAAGACAACAGAGAATATAAAGAATGCTGAGTGATTATGAAGAAACAGCATAAAATAAATTCAAATGCCATACAGCTTTCTCACCAAAGCATGTTTTGGACGGTTCGCAGCTGCTATACATACTGACCCAGAAGAAATGAACTATGGAAAAAGAAACAGAAAAATAGTTTAGTCCACTGGAAATATCAATGGGAAAAAGCATCAGAAAAATCTGGCACCCATGAGAAGCCAGGAAGACTCCCATGCAAATAGGACTTCTATATGTATGCCTTAACCATTAATGCCATGGTGCATGGCTGAAGAGGAATTTGCATATACTTACAAATATCCCTCCCCAAAAGGGGTAACCTCCAATTCCAGACAAGGTAAGATAGTAAAAAGGAAAGAGACAAAGTGAGACAGCCCCAAAGCCAATGTGGATCATCCCAATCATGATCTGGATGGCCTAAGGAAGGAAAACACACAAAGTAAGAAAAACTTCATTGGCTGAATCTGAGAAAGAGAAACATTCTTATTTTTTAGAACCCTGGGAAAAGCATCACTTTCTATCCATCTTTGAAAAGTCCTTCAAAGGGATTTGGGCATCTAAGCTTGCAGTACAGGTGTTGACCCAAGGCCTGGAACAACTAGACACGAAAACAGCTTTTTCCTAAAAGCCATCACTCTGCTAAACAAATAATTCCCTCAACACTGTCCAACTATTTACAAAGTCAGCATTACTATTACTGTTAATCTTCTCATCACTCTTTATCAACCATCCCCTTCCACTTGTGACTGTATGACTGTAACTTTGTTGCTTGTATCCTTATGATTTATATTGACTTTTTCCTAGTATGATTTGATTGCTTATTGCACACTATGACTATCATTAAGTGTTTGTACCTTATGATTCTTACTCTTGACGAATGAATGTATCTTTTCTTTTATGTACACCGAGAACATTTGCACCAAGACAAATTCCTTGTGTGTCCAATAATAATTATATTCTATTCTATTCTGGTTTCCTATGGTGAAAAATCCAAATGGGGAGAAGGGACAGTTTCACTACAGACTCCTCTGCAGGAGGAAGTTATCATGGTCATAAGCACAAAGTGACTTCAACCAGCTTAGGCCAATCCATGACCAGGTACTTCTGGAGAAATGCCCAACAGTTGCACTTCTCAGAGGGAAGGGAGAAAAAGAGACCTGGCTGGAACCATGGCTGAGCTCCACTTTCTCATTTAAGGAGCAAAGCAAAAAAAAAAAAAAATGCATATCAGAGTCAGAATGTTTTGCATAATCACAAATGAAACTACCAGGAAGAGCAGAGACAGCAGCCAAGCTAACTTCTGGGGCTCTCAGGTCTCTACAAAGCTCTAAAACCTTAATGGACTTCAAACAGGAACATAGCAAAGCATGCATACCCCAAGCACTTTGGGCTCAGCCTTCAGGAATCTCTCCAAAAGATTCCCTTGTGGGACTTGCTGAGGAGCACTGGTGGAAATCCCAAGTTGCTGAGCTCCATACTGAGGATATGGAATTGCTCCAGATGCCTGAAGAGCAACAGTGGGCAATCCAGGGGCCGTTTGGATTATGTTCGCTCCGTTAGAGGGGATGAGAACTGTGGTTCCACTGGCCATTCTTGCTTGAAGGTTTGCCACAGGTACCTTACCTGCAAACAAACAAGTGAGGAAAAGGTAAGGTCTTAACATCAATTAGGCAAATTCTGGTCCTTGTCCATAATGTCACTTGATGAGATAACATTTGCCTGCAGTAAAACTGAAGAAGATTGCCAGAAGGGTTCAGGGAACAGGTAATAAAAACATACAACTTTCTCAGGGATAGAAATCCTCCTTTTGCCCACCATTTAGCCAGAACCAAAGAAACTTCTTACTTGAGAAGCAAAATGTTTTCAAGGGAAAAAAACAACCCAAAATCCAGTTGCCTTTGAAAAACATCCTTGGGACAACCATGACCTGGAGGATTGAGAATCTTCATAGATATTAGGGAGAAAAAGTTAATCAGAACACAGAGAACATAACATTTTTCAATGCAAAAGGTCTCTTTCTAATCTTAGCTCCATCTTAGATCCACCCAGTTAAATGGCATTTCCCATTTGGGCAAGGTTTTATTGTACTTGCCCTCCTGTCCTGTTACTGGCAGATGGATCTAAAGGCACCAGGCATGGGTGATCATGTTGATTGCCACCTTCCATCAAGTTCATTCTGATTTGGACATAGGTTACTGGGAAGGACAGGAGCAGAATCTGTATCCCACCTTTGCTTCACTGATGTGTGAGGTTTCTTATCAGGACACAATTGGGCTATCAGACTGAGTTTTCTAACAAAACTCCAGACAATCCCAGAAAGTAGTGAAGAGATTCAGTAAAATCCCAACTGCCATCACATCTAATAGCTCTCTGGATGTTTAAAACTCTGACTTGGCCAATAGCTCGAATTAATCCCACCAGTTACGATTTGTATGGGCCTTAAGAGAAAGCTACTTCCTTTTTGAGTTGTATTAATTGGAAGTCAAAGTTAAGCCAAAACCGACCCATCCACCTTCCTTTGAACGGTGAACTTCCAATATTGAATCTTAGTAAGTTTACACGGCGCCTTTGCGCGTTTTGGATGCTTTCATCAAGACAAGATTGACGGCAAACTCTTTCCTGTCCGCTAATTTTCCCCGAAACCTTCCCACCTGGAAGACCTGCGGTGGCTGAGAAGACCGCGGGTGGATGGCTGCAGGGGAGAACCGGGAGGCACGGGATGGTCCACATATTAATTTTTAAAAATTAACCAGAAACTACTCACGTCAAGCGCTGAAGACACGAAGTAAAGGGAAGCCTCAAGGAAAACGGAAGCAACATAACAGGAACAAGTGGAGGGTGGGGTTCTGTTACAACTAAAAGGAGGGATTTACTCGCTTTAATCAAGGACTCTAGAAAGAAACATCTTTCTTGTCCCTTTAACTGTTGCAACAAATAACACTTTGAGGCCCGGAACCTTCTGCTTGTTCAGAGATAAGAGGAAAACTGTTCCAAGTTTATAAAGTCCTGTGATTCCCAGGCTAAAACGAATCACTGAAATCAAATGGATACTCGACGTCTCCTTCGTTTCTCTCTCGCTTTCAACCCCTCCGAGGCTTCCACAACCTTTGCAGGAATCGGCAGAAAGAAAAAGAAGGGGATCAGATTATGATCACTGCGATCACAATCTCCCCCCCGCCCAGCTCTTTAAGTAGCCCGCGTCCAGCGGACGATGTTTTTTTCCCTCCTTTCCCTCCACCGGAGCTCTCTGTAGTTTTCGGGTTGTTCTTTTTCGCGCTTGAACAGGCAAAGCCGCAGCGGCGTGAAGGGGAGGCTGGAGGGACTCGATCTGCCTCCGACTGCGCTCCTTGCGAAGCTCTCCCTGGAAACCTCAGAGGCCGCTGAAACATCTGGACTGTTTCGCTTCGCCTCTCCGTGCATTGGCAAAGTTACGATGGGTAAATCGATTGTGTTTCCTTTTGCACTTATTTAAACCGAACATTTGCTTTTTGGGTGACTCCTCCCTACTATACATTTCTGCTCTATTGGAGAGACCTCCACCTTCTTTCACGGGAGCGCCCTCTGGCGTCCTGATTCTCCTACTGCTGTTTGTATTGGCTGTTCTACGAATGTCTCTAGGGGTGTGGAGAGTTTTGGAAGCGGTGGCGGCTTGTAACCTCCCTCCCCCTCCATGAGCTACGCTATTCCCAGATTTCATCTTTTTAAAAAGCAACTTGCCGTTATATCTTCTAGGTCTCTTCTAGATGCTAATTTACTTATAGTATGATATTGGCTTTTCAATCTTTAATTCAATTCCTAGCAGTTCATTTCAAGGGGAAATTAGTCAGTTGTTTCAATCAATAAGCAGCTGTGAGTGTAGCAGCTCCAGTTAGCTGACACACTATCATTCTGAATTTAAGAAAAGGCAAGAGGAAACCCAAAATATTTTGGATGAAATAAAATTATAAACATGCAGCAAATATAAACATAATTACAAAATTATCTTACACTATGATTACATAAAAAGTCACTTTTTTCTATTACCTGTTTTTCTATTTTAAGGTGTTATCTCTCTCCCTATTCAAGCACATTGAGGAATCAATGTAAATCATACTCTCGGAAATTGAAATCCACTTTTAGACAACATAAAGGCACCCCAGAAATAATCTTGAATCTGTCTGCCTTTCTTAATTTAAATCCGGGAAAGCTGAGCTGAAAGAGAATAATAAGTCTGGCTCCAGGGGTTGATCTGTTGAAAAGGGGGTGGGACTCCAATAGGAGTAGGGACAGGAATAGGGACATGAACAGAACACAAAATAGAACAGAACAAAATTATTTATTGGCCAATTGTGGTTGGACACACAAGGATTTGTCTCTGGAGCATAAGCTCTCAGTATTCATACAAGCAAGTGAGAAACCATGATAATAATCATGAAATACATTCATCATAAATCATAAGATACAACACTCAGTCATAATCAGGATACTAAATAAGCAATCAACATAAATCATACTAAGATACTAAAGAAAACAATGTAATTAATTTAATACAACATACAATATATAAGAAACAATATATCAGAGGAAATAATGGTAACAAATTGTGTGTGGCTACTGCTACAGTACTCTTCAGAAAGTGTATGTGAGGCATGAGGCTGCAATCAGCTGCCAAAGTGGCCACACTTGCTGGAGGTGGCTGCCAGAGCAGCCACTGCAAGGCAGCTGTATGCGTGGATTGGATGGCCTGCTGTGACTCTTCGGTAAGTCTGTGAAAGGAGTGGGGTGCATGGGGGGGGGGCTTGCTTGGCCTCCTATTTTTGTGGTGCAATCAGCCGCAGAAGCGGCCAAACTTGTTGGAGCTGTGGCTGGAGAGGCCACCGCGAGGCAGATGTATGCATCAGTGGGATGGCTTGCTGCAACCCTTCGATAAGCTGGGTCAGGGCATGTGAGGCAGATCGGCCCTGCCTCATACCAGTACATGGGGAGAAAAATTAAGATGGCCCCTGAAAATAAGGCCTAGTGCTTATTTTGGAGGTCAAAAGAAAATAAGACTGGGTCTTTCTGGGGAACATGGTATCTTGTCTAGTATTGTAAGAGATGGTAGAATAAGAGGACGTCTCCTAAAATCTACTATGATTTCTACAATTTTGAGTGTATTTCATTCAAGATTGTTCTGGCCACACCACAGCACTAATTGTTCAACTTCCCATCTGTATGCAGGTTCATCAAAGAACGGAAGTAAGAGTGATATCAGTTCAACTGGGCTAGATTATATTCAGGATACTGCCTATCAACTTAAAACTCAAAAACTGGGCAAATTTACAATTAGTACACCTGTAAAATCATTGCAGGAGTCAAACTTTTCCCCATGTAATTATGGACAAGGAAGCAACTAATCTTCTCTACACCCCAATTGAGTCTCTTGAGGCATATACAGTACCAGGGATGGGCAACTCTGGCACCTTTAGGAACTGTAGACTTCAACTCCAAGAATACCTGAATCAGCCATTCAGGCTCAGGAATTGGAAGTCCAGAAGTTGCAAAGGGATCATAGTTGCCCACACCTTAAATATACCTTCCCTAAAAGTAAGAATGGCTTTGATTTTGAAATTGTATGTTTACACAACTGTAAAATCTTCAAGGATACAGCTAATGAATGTGTTTACAGCTTCCTTTGTTGAAGATGATAGTAAAAACAAAAACAAAAAATAGCAGTTTTGATGGAATCTGTCTTTTTAATCAGCTTAAGTGCCCTAACAATATGGAAGACTCTAGTTATATGCAGACTTCTTCTGTTTTGGGATCACAGTGATTATGCAAACACTATTATAGGTAGTTACAGTTTAGTGACAAAATTACAAAAAAAGTGACACATGACCAGTCCTCACAGGTAGCAGCCTCCCCATGGTCATGGGATTGCTTCTCCTGAAACCTCTGTTGCCAACAATTCTCATGTTTCCTTGTTTTACTGAGATTTGCTAACCACGTTATTGTAAGTCGGTGGAGGAGGATTTGGTTCAGCTGCAACTTCTCCACCTCCGAAGACTTGGTAAGGCACAAAAACCACGGTTGGCTGTAACAGAAAAGAATAGTCAATACAAAAAATACTCAGGGATGCATCTGTTACTCTAGGTAGGAGGAATAGATTCTCCACTTGTGTGTTTTTAACTGCGATGCTAGCAGTCTCACCAACAGGCTGAAATCCTGGATAGCTCAAAGTCCTGATAGAGAATTCTTTAAGATTATAAATTAATAGGCAAATGATGGGCATTTACTGTATTTTTTGAAGTATAAGATGCTCCAGTGTATAAGACGCACCTAGCTTTTGGGGTGGAAATGAAGAAAAAAAAATTGCCTCTGCCTCCCAGCATCCATTCAGTACTCATCTGGTCTATTCTCCCTGGTCTGTTTGCCGCTGCTGCCACTGCCACCACTGCCCATTCACCACTGCCAGTTCGCCGCAACCCATTTGCTACCGCCTATTTGCGGCTGCCTGTTCACCACCACTGCGGCCCGTTTCCTGCGGCCCATTTGCCATCGCTCATTCATTGCTGCCGCCCATTTGGCGCCACCACCACAGCCCGTTCTAGAACAGCTGATCGGCACTGCACCAATCCCCTCCCCACCACCGCAATATTTGCTGTATAAGACGAACAGATATTTCCATCCACTTTTTTGGGGGGGAGGGGAAGTGTGTCTTATACTCCAAAAAATATGGTAAGTAATTTTTCCTAATCAAATCTGCCAGCCTTATCCACACATTCGGACAATGTTTGCTCAGGATCTCCCAACTTCCTACCGAGAAGTGTGATAGGAAGTCCCTCATCACACAGTGAGT